TCCTGTAATTATTTTTTAAATTAAATAATTTATCTAAATTCAAATACTGTAAACTATAGATAATGCATACCATATAATCATTCCAGAGTCATTTTGGTATATAAAGAAAAGAAGGAATTTTTTGATAGTTTATATTTTTTTTTTTGAAGATGGGCTATTATATATAATAAAAATAATAGATATAGTATTTAAAAAGATATACTTTTAAATAACAATTTTTACCTGCTCAGGATCATCACTAGAAAATTCAGTATCATTTTTGTCTAAGACTTGAGGATGACTTCGTTTTAGTGATCTCTTTTTTATCCTGTCATTAGAAATTTCTTCTTTGGCTTGGACTTTATTAGCTTTATTTGTTACCACTTTGGAGGTTTTGTTATGAAAAGGATCATCTTCTACGATTTGCATTTTAGTTATTTTATTTCGATTTAATGTTTCTTTTTTGGCTTTATTTCATCCTTTGCTTACTTTATTCGTTTGCACTTTAACGGTTTTGTAACTTGTACTGTACTTCAATTTAATAGTCTTTTTTTCTCTTTATTTAGTTTTGCCACTTTCATTGTAGAGGTATCTTCAAGCTTAGCAATCATTTTCTTAAGTTTAGCAATTTTCAATATGGTTTCTTCATCATGGTCAGTTAATTTGCTGGTGGAAAATCCACTTTCAGAATTGGAGGAATAATCCGACATTTCATTGCATTCTATTTTATTTGTAACTAAGTATTCTATATTATAACAAATTGACAATAACAATAAATGCCAAAACTAGACAGTGAATAAAGAATATAAAAATATATCTTACACGAATAATTATATTATTTTTAACGAAAAGGTAAAGATAATTTGAGTGCTAACACAGGAAAAGAGCTCCTTGATTTTTTAAATATATTATTGATTATTAGTCTGATTTAGCCCTTCTGATCGATGTTATATTAGGTTTTAAATTATACTGATAATATCGATATAACTTAGAGCCTGATATATCACCGATCAGAAGGGCTGGATCAGAATAATAATCAATAATATATTTAAAAAATCAAAAGGCCCTTTTCTCTTGGCAGCACTTAGTTACAAGCTACTAAAGCGACAATAGATTTATATATCATTTTATACTTTATTATATAGACCATAGTATTAGCGTGATACAATTTTTTTTACATAATAAATATTAAACATCACTTAGTTATACGTCACATAAACTTATAAATAGTATTTAAAAATAAGCTCAACGTAATTGGTCACTTGAATATTATAACCTGGGTACTGTAATTGTCTTCCAAAAATAGAGTAATTACCTTAAGTATGTGGCACAGTTGTCAGATTTAACAATACTTAGAATTTTCACTGCGGACCAATATTATTGTACCCTTTCATACTCTTTTCTATATTATAAAATTTAATTGTTAAAACTAGTCACCAAATAATTATTATGCAAATAATCATTAAAAGTCGACAAAAAAGAAAAAAAACAAGCAATAAAGGGCTAAAAGTTCTTTGTGAATGTTTGAAATGCCAAAGATCTTCTTTAAGCCGAAATTTGGTTTCAATTTCAACTCGCACATGACACTGAAAAAAATATCCTCAAAATACTCATGAATCGAGTAATAATGAACAAGTAATAAGTGATGCTAAACAAGAATTAAGCAATGAGCAAGAAATGAGTGATGTGAAACAAGAAATAAGTGATGCTGAACAAGAATTAAGCAATGAGCAAGAAATGAGTGATGTGAAACAAGAAATAAGTAATGTGGAGCAAGAAATGAATGATGTGAAACAAGAATTAAGTGATAATGGGCAAAAATTAAACAATCAAATACTGAGCTATACTGAAGGTTTAGATCTAGAATTATATTCTAATTATGAATTAGATTTTCAGAAAGATAGTAGTATAAAGTAAGTCAGTTTAACGCTTCGCTTTGGTTGAGTTAGAGCTGGTTCTGTAAAAGGCAAAATCTAACAGAATGATTGTTCAATATAGAGAGTGTTGATTGAATTTATTTATTTATTTATTTTTTTGATTTTATTCAATCCTCAAAACTAACCCAATTTTAGTACATCTGATGATGAACTGTTAACAGATTCTAATTCGGTGTCAAACAGTGAGTTAAGCGAAGATGATAAGGAATAAATTTTAGATACTTTTAAAATCTTTTTAATATTTCTTAATTTCTAATACTTTGTTAATCTCCTAGATAATACTGCAATCCAATTACCTCCAGGTTTTTCAGAAGCTTTAAGACTGCTGGAAATCAAAGCTCATTCTAATATGACGAATGATATGTATAGCGAAATTATGGATGCTTTTAGTATGCAAAATGTATCTTTATATCGTGCCACTAAGAAATTATCAAGTCTGGTGTCAATTGATCCTATTTGGGTTGATTGCTGTATAAATAGCTGTTATGCGTTTACTGGAAATTTAAAAAATCTACAAAAATATTCAGCATGTGGGGAGTCGAGATATTAAAAAAAAACAAAAAAAAAAGTTGGAATAAAAAAGATAGCATTTTTTTCTCTAAAGACAGGTTGATTATTTAATACTGAAATTTTAATCGATCATTAGAATTACAATATCGAGCCAATTATATGATGAGTCAAGAATATCTACAATATAAATCATATAGCGATATATTTGATAGCAGATGGTACCGGGAATTAGTTGAAGAAGGCCACTTTATAGATTATAGAGATATCGCATTAACAGCTTCACTCGATGGTTATAACATATTCAAACAAAAGACTGATGACTGTTGGATAATTTTATTTATCAATGCAAATCTTCAACCTAAAGAAAGAGTAAAACAGAACAATCTATTAATTGGAGCTATAATTCCAGGCCCGTCTGCACCAAAAAACTTAAATTCTTTCCTTTGTCCTGTAATTAATGAACTTAAAGAATTAGAAAGTATGAATCTAAATTAGGGCACTCCAGATTAATTCTTTATTTAACATAAAATCGATCATAAGCTTGAAAGAAGATATAAAAAACACAAATTAAAAAAAAATATATATAGTAATTCTAAAAATTATAGAAAACTAATACTACAATTTGATTGGTTAATGTTTTATGTTTTGTAACTAAAATTTAAAAATAAAGGGGGATTATGTTAAACGTAAAATTAAATTGGTCTGGCCTTGCTTAAATTTTAATAAAATTTTTAATTAATTTTGTTATATTTTAGATGGAATCAAATGCTATGATGGTTATACAAACCAAGATTTTATATTGCATTGTTCGGTCGTATCTTGGTCAGGAGACATGCCAGCTCTTGCGAAATTGATGTGCACAACAGGCACAATTCTTACCAAGGTTGTAGGTCAGTATCTAAAATATAACTTGAATTATATTAGCTCATGGCAAATTTTATATAAAAAATAGAATTTAACCTTGGAATGTTTCAAAATATTGGTAAATTGAGTGTTTTAATATACTATTTAAACATTTTGTAGATATTGTAATATATGTGGAATATGGAAAAATCATGTATACTTTCCTACAAGGCCTCCTAACAATAAACGAAAATCAATTTATGACCCAAATAACCTTTCTAAAAGAACACATCATGACTATCTAAAAAAGATACAAAGGTGGAAAGCAGCTGAGAAAAATAGAAATAGAAAAAAGACAGAAATTACTACAGGTATATATTTGGTATTTTTTTAAGTATTATATAAGTAAATCTCAATATAAGAAAGTGGCAGGATCAATAGTAAAAATTTTACAAAACTTTTATATATCAAGAGTTTATTAGTAATTTTCTTATATCATATAAGTTATTATAAACTAGTTTTCACTTTAACTTTCTTATATTAAAGTGTAATTGGTTTTTTTTTTATACCAAGAGCTTCTTATATCAGGAGTTACTTTTATATTAATTTGACATATACTAATACAGGAATTAATGGTCAAAATATATTACTTGAATTAAAATCTACCAAATTTCTGAACTCATTTCTGATCGATATCATGTATTTGTTATATGAAAACATACCAGGCTATATGTTCAAGCATTGGTATGAATATTTTTATTCCAGTAATAATTCAAGCTTGAATATGAATGAATATACTATTCAAAAAAATGCATGGGTTACAATTGGAAAAATAATGGAGGCAAATCGAAAATCAATGCCAATATACTTTGGTCGATCTCCAAGAAATATTGTTAATTATCGTAATAGATTTAATGCAGAAGAATGGGCAAATTGGGTGGTGCTTTATTTACTGCCATTATTAAGAGGATATTTACCCAGAAAAATATTGCAGGGCTGGAGTTTTTTTGTAACTGCAGTTAAATTGTGTCAGAAGTGAATAATTTCAGTAGATAATGTTGACGAAATTTGAAGATTACTACTTGGTTTTTATAATCATTATGAAAAGTAAAATAACTATTATGTTTTTTTTTAACCCTCTAGAGAGACGCTATATAGCATTAGTTACATTATATTTTTAGAATATTTAAAAAAAAATTTAACAGATATTTTTTTAACAAACAGGATATATTATCAGCAAGAACAATTAAGATTGCTAGCAATGAAAATATGCTTCTATTATCTTTTGTATCTAGCTGATATTATAGAGACAAACGGTCCTTGCTAGAGCACGTGGCAGTTCCTAATGGAACGTTTATGTGGGATGTTAATTCCACTTGTTTAATCAAAACTTCATCCTTATAACAACCTGGCAAATCAAATAATTCTTAGGAAGTGATTAAATCATTTAAGATTTATTGACCATATCTATTAACAAGTTAATCTATTACAAAATAAAAGAAGTTAATACAATGATAACATGATATATATGGATCTAAATTATGGAAAAAAATTTTATTTTCCAACGGTAGAGCATTATCTCAACAAATCGATGGTGAATAAATTAAAAAAACAGTATATAACTTGTTACGAGGCTAATACTATATTACAGGTACATAAAAATTTTAATATTATAAATTCTTACAGTTTAATTTAATTTAATATTTATAACTTATTTAGAACTTTTCTGAATATGGAAAAAAATATGCCCGAATGCAAATCGCATGGTGATTTTATCAGTTCTATGTAGGAAAGAAAAAATAAAAATTTTGGAAGAATAAATTATTGAGTAGCTGTAAGTATTTTTTATTTATGTCATTTTTTTTTTTAAGTAAACATACTAATTGAATAATATTTTAGGCACGGATGAAAGTAGATAAGTGGGCAGCGTTTAAAAATTGACCTCCTGAGTTTGAAATTCAAGAATTTTATGGACGTGTAGAATATTACTTTGTTCACCAATTCAATGGCAATGCTCATATGATGGCATTTATACAGTGGACTCAAAAGTTTAATGAAGATGAATATGGACTTAAATCTTTTAGAGAATTTGGAATCAAACAATTTATTGATGTACAAGTAATTGATCGATGTGTGGGATTCTTAAAATATAACAATATCTTATTTATTATTGACAAGAAAGTAGATGATTCCGATGATAGTTATATAGAATCAAGCAGTAAAGATGATGAATATTATTACAAACAGCTCTTTCTGTAATCAACTGATAGCTCTGTTATTAAGAAAATATAAATACTAGTCATAGCAAACAGATTAAGAAAAATAAATAATTTCAAAATAATTATGCAAGTATATACATTGTAATAATGAAAAGTAACTCAAAGCAAAAACAACTATTCTGAGAATATATTACACAAAACTAACACCAATACCTAATTTTATTGATAATATAAACTCTCAACATCTAAATTGGAGACTTTGAAAGAGACATATAATAATTTGGTCTACATCCCAATTTTACTGCAGCAATTGCGAGGTCAGAAGTTAAGTATTCTGTTTAGATTCTTATTTCTGTTATTCTCTGTTGTTCTTTATTTTATTTACTAATACTCAGTATTTCTTAATTGTGAACGTAGTTCACGATAATATGTAACCATGAGCACGATTTAATGTGGGTTATATAAGCATTTTAACTTAGTCAATCATAGATTTGATTAATTTAACAGTTTATTATAAAGAGGGTTTGTTTACTAATTAATACATACTTCATGGAAACAAGCAACTACGATATTTAAGTATTATAAGAGGGATACTTAAGAACAACTACTATTATAATTTTTTCGTAATTTATAACTTGAGGTAAATTATTTTTGTTTTAAGCAAATATATTTGGTCTTAATTCACATCTTCATTATATCTTCTCTATATACCATATATACCATATTGTCGCAAGTTTAATTGATACTATGTCAATTGTTCCAAATATCTGGTTCAGAATCTCTTCATCTTTACTATATATGGTTATTAACATATTATTTGTTTTTACGCACTGTGATTGATTATCCTTTGCTATTTTCAGCTGTTATGAGTGTTTGCTATAAAAAATGCATGAATGATCCTTGATTTTGATTGCCAACATGATGACCAAAAACTTAGACCAAAATTACTCAAATTTTAACTAATAAGATTGCGGCTGCCTATTAAATAAAAAATATTTTTGAAAAATTTTACCATTGGCCAGTCATAAACCTTAAAATTTACCTTTTTGGAATTAAAAAAATAAATTTAATTCTAGCCAAAATTATATATAATACGAGCCAGAATTTTGTCAATTACAACCGTTGGTCAATCAAAATTGAGGATCATCCGCATATTTTTTGTCTGGCATCTAGATTTAATAAAAATTCTTTGCTATTTGTATTAAAGATGCTTGACGAATGACGAAACTTTCATCATTGACGATTGACGAAACCTTTCGTCAAGCCAATTTTGAAATGACGAATTAACGATTGATGAAACCTATGACGATTGACAAAACTTATGACGAAACTTATAAGCCAATAGAATTACAGGATCTCGTGTAACAAACAAAATTGTGGATTGTAGTCACG